CAGATATTCACACTGTTCCAGCCCCTTCTCCTCACCCACTACATCCCCACAGGAGCAGCCAGGAATATCTACCACCCTTCCTACCTCTAGGCAAAAATACAAAAAACCAGCCACCCAAGAGAAAAGTCTGATAGAGAAGCCCCACACATATACACAGCGCTTCTGATCAGGTTTTTGTGTCTCATACTAAAAAAAAAAAAAAAAAAAAAAAAAGGCTTTCTGCTTTTCAGTACAATATTATATACTATTTCATGTATATTATGGAAGGGCAGAAAGTTTGTCTGTTCTGTCCCACTAATGCATTCCCAGTGCTTAGAACAGTGCTAAGTACACATTAGATACTCCGTAAATATTTGATGAATGAATTAAATGTATTTAAAATCTGTAGGCCTCTCATAGAGACTCAAGAACATCAAAAATGTTATCTTTGTATTTGTAGAGTATCAGTTCCAGTCAGTTATTGATGAAACATGTCTCCCTAACATCACCATACGTTGCAGCTAAATTCCACTTCATTGCACCTCAATTTTAAACACAAAATTTACAATAGCCCATTTCTTAAAATGGCTGATATTAATTTTTCTTCTATTAGGGAAAAATAGGTGGGTTATATAACTTTATATCTATTTGCATGTATTCTCAAACGAAAGCACAAGAGGTTTTCATTTAGAAACTGAGCCAGATTACGGAAGCTAGGAGAAATGAGCTAGATGGGCCCTCTAGTGGCCTCGAAGGGCTGTTAACACTCCCCAAAATACCTAACATTCCTAAGGAAACAAATACTTACATGTCTAGCACAAAGAGCAAAAGAAATGAACAAACAAAATAGAAACAGACTCATAGGTACAGTGGGGGATGAGGGCTGGATGAAAATGGTGAAGGGATTAAGTAGTTACAAAATAATCATAGGCATATAAAGTACAGCGTAAGAAATACAGTGATCAACGTGGTAATAACTAGGTGTGGTGCCAGGTGGGTACTTGAAATCTCAGGGGAACACTTTGTAAAGCATATGATTGTCTAACCATTGTTCTGTGCACCTGAAACTAATAAAAATAATACTGAATGTAAACAGTAATTGAAAAAAAACATTAAAAAAAAAAAAACAGAACACCAATAAACACAGTCCTTTTAAAGCTGTAGATCTGGGAAAAGACACACCTGGCTGAACAGATACCGAAATGACTTCACACAACTATGCAGTAATCAGTCAGAGAGAGAAGAGAGAAAAGCAGCAAGTGTCACAGGTTGAGATGTGAAACTTTACTGAGAGGCAATAACTCAGTAACTATGCTCCCCTCCTCTCTCATAACTGCCTTCTTATTATCCCACCATCACCCCCACTGTTCCTGAAAACGTGCACGTTCCTGCGTGTGCATACCACATCCCGTGTAGACTGCAGTGCCCAACTTTCACTGGGTCTGTAGCAAGGGTACTAAGGAAGTTTCACATCATTTATATAAATATTTAGAAGTTATAGTCAGGCTAACAAACTGTTCAGTAAAATGCTTTCTGTCTTCCTACTATGTTTCCATGGCAACAAAATTTTTTTTTAAATTTGTGTAAAGCTGTAAGTGCTATACAACTGGATATAAACAAAACACCACAGGCAACGAAACATAAATATTGTCATATATCTGAGTATTCTGTGATGAACCAGAATTGTATGGATTAGTATTATCCGTGACATCCCTAAGTCATGCATTTTAATCATTCTGTAACAATTCTTTTGTTCTTCCTACACCTTAGCAAAATCAAGAATCATGCTGTTACAATCTAAGTTGCCATACAATTTGTGTTCTATTGACAGTAATGTCAAATTAGACTAATTTTTGTAAGTCACTCTTACATAGTTTCTTATTACTTTCAGTTTGGAAAAACTTCATTGTGTTGAAGCAGTAGCAACAGGAATCATCAAGGAAAATCTTAAGGCAATACTTGGACTCAGAAATTTTACATGTCATGTTCGAGCACTGTACTGGGTCACCTGGGTTAGGTAATTTGTATCATGTAAAATATTAGAAAATATTTTATTACTAAAATCACTATCACTTATATTACAATACTACTGCCTTTTAAAGTGATACCTAGACACTTATGATATTTCTTAAGTTCTGTTTCTTTTCATTTTTAGTGCAATATAAAGAGAAAACAAAATAACAGTATTTTGCTCAATTTGTTTAAGTCTCATTCAAAATTATACATTCAACCAAATAGCCAGAAAATAGTCCCCATAAAAAATTAGCATCAGGCCTCATCTTAAGGCCCAGTATGTGTTTATCATTCTGGCGCCCACCTCCTCTGCCTTCGGTTGGGCTTCTTATCCCTGGACGTATATTTCCAGAATCCAAGCTTCATTTCCCCTCTCATTAGACTGGTAGTTGACTTATGTATACAATTCCATGGTTGTTTCTACTCAGAATGTTAAGGAAACTGTACCACTGGCCTCCAGCATTGATGTCAGGAATCACAACACCATTTAGCTTCCAGTTCCCTTATTTGAAGCCACTTGATTATGCTCAAAGCTTTTAGAACATTCTTTCTCCAGATATTCCCAGAAGAGCCTGGCTCTTCTTCTTCATTATCCAGTTCCCCACCCATCTCTTAACTTTCTTGATCAGTCAATCAAAGAAGATCCCACATGTCACTCCCACATCACCAAATTTTATTTTCATCAAACTAGTTTGCTACCTGATACTTTCTTGTCTTTTCTATATTGTCTCTTTCTGCTGAATAAACTATATACTCCACAAGAATGTGTTTGCTTCTGAATCCCCACTGCCTAGGATAGTGAGCAGGTTTCAATAAATGTTTATTGGCTCAGTGAATGAAAGCCTGAATTCTAGCACTACTACCAGACGTAGAGTGAGAATGGTCTTTTGATTGATATTCCTAAAGTAAGTAAAACAGGATCATGTCCGGGACCCTAACTTTGTCATGGTGCTTATATTTACTTCAAACATGTCTTCTGGCCATAGTGAATCATAAAGTTTTAAAACTAAAATCATAACTGCAAATATTGAGAGGAACACTGTAATGTATATGACCCGTCTAAAATCATACTGCAAATATTGAGAGGAACACTATGTAATATATATGACCCATCTAATAGCTGGATACCTGAAACCAATACAAATTGAAAGACAAAGAATTTTTATTAAATGAGACAAAAAAACTAAAATCAAACTTTTGAGAAGTTCAAATTATTTGTCCTCAGAAAGCAATGCCCTTGGGCTAGTTTGTCGTCTTCTACCTACAAAAAACTTAGTATTTATTAAGTTAAGAGTTAATGTCATCATCTTGATCCTCGCTGAGCAATGACATGAAGAATGTAACTTGGCCAGAGCCCAGTCTTCAACACCAGAGGTCCTAGGTCCTAATCCAAACTACACCATTTAGGATCTGTGTGTCCTTGGTTTTGTTACTTAACCCTCTCAAAACCAGTCTCCTAATTATAGCACTACTTGTCTCCTTGGCTCAAATCAGGATCAAATGAGATCATTCACTTAAAGTTTAGGTGTAGTCCTTGAGCGTTTAATAAATATTAGCTGTAATTATTATAATAAATTATCTATTTGAACATTTCCATATTCTTTGCAAAATCTTGGCTGAAAGCATCATTCATTACATTGCATGAAATAATTTTCTCTCTCAACTTAGTGCAAACACAAATTGCCTCTTCAAATGCACTTGAGATTTTTTTTCCTTAATCAGTTGGAGAAGTAGATGACCAATCATGTTTTCCTTCCAGAAGGAAATTCAGGTCATTTTCCATAATGACCTTTTCCAGATATCTTTTTCCTACCAATTTTCCCCTTGGCTGGTTTTCCTTTTGGTTTTATTTTTAATTGTCTTCTTTTACATTTCTCTTAACATTGTAGCTTGTGAGTCTGTCATTTACCAGCTGAGTGACCCCGAAAAGGTTATTTAACATCTAGAACTCCACTTTCTTAATCTGTCGAATGGGAATTGTGGTGGAGACCAATGACACTATCAACCCAGCATCCTTTTTAATACTCAGTGCTCTACTGCATCCATATTCCCTCAGGGCCATATAAGGGACCCAACCCACTATGAACTTAGATTAATCTAGAAGTAGACATTTAATTCAAGCTGAACCAAGAAGACCCTTGCCAGGAATTCTGGATTTAAGACTGAAAGAGTCAGGTCACTTTCCTTTTGTAGCTGAAATTGTAAGACATAAATCTCAGTAGCTTCTAGAGTCCACATTTCCCACTTACTAGGAATTGGTCCATAGTGAAGGAAAGAATGCAAGGAGGAGAAGAAGAAGGGGTCCCAATGGTTCTAATGGTCCCTAGGTTCTTGCTTTTCTTGTAGCTTGGCTGTTCCATTAGATATCCCACTATTTTTCAATAAATTCTTCTTTTTGCATATATAATTTAGATTTGATTTCCATCACTAGAAACTGAAATATTTTTAATACTAAGAAAATACACCTTACTTTGAATAGATGTTATAAAAAGGAAATGAGATAAAATATTTCAGTGCATAGCATGTAACCTGGCATATAATATTTGATCAAGCAATGATGCTTATGAACATTATTTAGAAGATGGGAAAACAAATTCTAAGTCAATTAATTAATAAACATAATTTTGATAGCTTACAAATCTTCTTTCTTCTTGCAGTTTAAAAATCATTCAAAGGGATTATTTGGTTTCAGACTGCGAAAGAGTTGCAAAATAAAAGAAATGTTCTGATTAATTGTGCTACATATTATCATATAAATCTAAGTGACTTACATAGTTAAACAATCTTAGAGAATAGTGAAACCTCAGATACAGTAACCCACAATTTCTTGCTTAATTCACTTGGTTAAACATAGAGAGAGAAAGTAAAAAAAAAAGTAGGCTTACATTTTACTTATCCCACATATATAAGAGTAAGTCTGACCCATTTAAGTGTACAAAATACTGACTTGGCAATCTTCAGATGGAGTAAAGAATCAAGTTAGTAAAAAGAAAATGAAATTACCATACCTGTAGAGATACCACACTGACAGTATCAAAATGGATGTGTCCATTAGGCTCTGTGACAGCTGGATTTGCATAGCATGTCACACCATTGATGGCAGGTAACGTTTTAGGTTGATGAGTTTTTTCTTGAGAAGGACCAAAGTCATCGTTACTAAAGTGAGTGTGATCATTCTATATGGAAACATTAAAAAAACAAAAAGAGCTTATAAAAAGGAAAAAAGAAGGCTCATGCAGATAAGTAAAACAGAGTTTAGTTGCTTTTTATCTCTAAGAGAAAAACATTATGCCTATTCTATGCATACTCTAATCTTTTTTGGATTTACAATGTTTTTCTCCCTTTAAATGTATTCTCATTTGTTAGACACTATTGTATCTGTTTTTTCATGTTAGAGAACACGTAACTTTTTATTTTGTTGAACATGAATGGAAAACATTTGTTATTCAATGTTAAATTGTTAGCACTTACACCAAATTCTACAATACAAATCATTTCCTTTATACTTAATGTATTGACTCTTCTTTGTCCTTACATTCATGAATCTAACATATGAACAATTCATGGAATCATTTATTTGCCTATATAAAGTAGCTTTGGCAAGTAAAATATCAAAAGCTTTAAATAAAGTCCATTTACCTGACCATATGTCTTTAATAACATCTTAAGAATTCTTTCAAAGAAGAAAAGTAGGTAAAAGCCACCAAACACAGCAACGGCCTTCTCAACATAGTTGTCAATTTTGGGATTAAATCCAAATGCCTGCGGAGGGAAAAAAAAGGAAATTCACTTAAAACTAAGTAATATAATTTCATTTCTAGAAAATAATACAAAAATTTCTCAGTATCCAATTTCCACTGAAGTTCTACATCCATCTTTACATCCAGGTAATATTGGGAACTTACCTGCCAAAATTATAAAACAAAAACTCTGACACTACAGTAAGCCAACTGTGAGAGATCTCTTAAAAATCTCCTAACCAAAGGATATCTGGTGAATAAAACCCCGAGTATCTTATTGTTTCCTAGCTATAACAATTGCAGCAATAAATACTTCAAGAAAGAAAACTTCAGTAGTAAAGAAGCAGCACTGAATGCCAGATTTGTAAGATAATGTTAGATCTAGGTAATGAAGATAAATGAGACTGTTTACTTTCTAGAAGAGTAATATATGTGTCTATCATATCCAGAGTCAAATTTTTAAAGCAAATATGGCAAGCCACCAGGATTACTGTTTTCGCAAGAGAGACCCTCTTAAACCTAGTGGATCCTGATAAATCCTGAAGAGATTAAATAAATGAAAAACTGGGCCAAAGAATAAAGAAAAGATTTAAGATACCAGGTACATGCACACACACACACAAAATGATGAGAATGAGAATTCATTGTTTAGAGGACATAAGACAAAAGCTGGAGTTTGAAATTATAAAGATATTCCTAACAGACAAGAAACACAAACTTAAAATAAATAAAGTAAGAGGAAAAAGCTTTACGCCATTCCAGACATTGTAAATCTTCCCTCTGAACTGCAGCCTAGAATAAAGGATGCCCAGACTCCTGCTCTATGTCTGCCTCTGGGTAGACCTAATGGTCCCGTCTTCATCTGAGTGACTTCTCTATGCTTATTTATACAGTGCAAAAAATGGCACAAAAATACCTACTTTATATATGTGAAACAGAGGTTATGAAAATAAAATGAAGTAGCAAAAATTTTGCCAAAAAAAAAAACCAAATACACATCTGTGGAAATATGAGGTAATGTTACAAAGGCAGATTCTTTAGTGTTTATATAAATCTCTGATCACATCCATAGTTCCTTAATTATCACAGACAGGCAAAAGAAAATCCACAAATGTTGTTGAGGAAATTTCTTATTTTTCCTAAGAAATTTCTTGTGCACTACATTTTCAATAAAATGAAAACCCACAAAATCATAAATGTGAATCGCCACTCTATACACAATATCAGTTTTTTAAATGTAATTTGACCCACAAATCAGGTGAGTTAATATATACACATATAACATTATATTAATGTTACATGTATACTCTTACATATAAAAATTGTTAATCAGAAAATCTATATTGTCATCTCAGTTTTGTTACTAGCTCATTGTATAGTTATAATCAAGTCATGTAATCCCTCTGGATTTTTTTTTCATCTCTACAGTTGAGATGACCTTCCTAGGTCCTCTCTAGATATAATGATAACAACAATAATAATAAATCTATGATACTAAAATGTTATATTCCCAATTTCATATATAGCTGTGAGAACTAAAAAAAGCTTTAGATATAATTTTCTAAAAGTTATGAGATGAGGTAATGCCCTGAACTACTATTTTTCTCTTTGCTCAGTGCTCACCTGCACCCACCTTTTTGTATACACAGAGGGTGAGGGGAGATACAGTCCGTGTGTATATATTTCCCCAGCTCCCCTTTGTGGCCTCCTCACCTTTGTCTATTCTCTTTCCCCTCTCTTTCCTCTCAATTATTCTTCTTCCTCTTTATCACTCCCTTATATGGCCATAATATAGATTTAAAATAAAACATATATAATATTTGTCAATTAACTGAATAGTGCATTATAGTCAATGTCAGATCAATAATACATTTTACAAAAGGAAACAAATGTTGCTGTTTATTCATTGGCCCTCACCTGATCTTTTTCCACAGTCGAAAAGGAAAGGAAAGAAAAGAAAAGAAAAGAAAAGAAAAGATTTGTCAACCACACTCTTATTTCTCCTCTAGTCTTCAATAGCTATAGTAAATATCTAAGGGAATTTTGTAGTATACTTTCAGTAAATTTGACATTGCATGCTCTTTAGAAAAAAATAAATTAATAATACAAGTATGTAGAGAAATCAAATTTTCCAAATGCAAGACAGAATAAATTTTAAGGTCCTCAGAGGTACTACAGAGCTGTCTGAGCACATCCTGGTAGCTGGCCTCCTGGAATATTAATTCTGTCTCTGACATGGACATTCCCTGAAGCTTGAGACAAGCTTCTTCATTTGCTGCAATTCAGCTCTCTTTTATACAAAACACCATGCACCAGACCATAAAATTCTGTGAGAATTATAGAGGTTTTAAATGTGCAAAGTGCTAAAACATGTGAAAGAAACAGTTATTCACAGAAACAGAGAGTAAACACCCTTACCTCTGGAATAAGTTGGAAGATTGCATTTGAAAATAGAGTCCCAATAGCCAGCCCCACAAAATAGGTCAAAATCTTGGGGAAATAAGATTTCTTTATCAATGGAGTCAAAATCAATCCAAGGAGAGATGCCAGATTAATAATTGTCACTGACAGGAATCCGTATCCCCAAACTGTGAATCAGAAGGAAAGAGGAGAGATTAATCAGAGCAAAGGCGCCAAATGAAGTCTTAACTCTACAGTAGACTTGAAACGAATTTCTCCTTGAAAGCTTGAAACAGATATGTTCTTTTAAATGAAATCATCTCAATGAAAATTATATATAAAATTGGGACCACATAGCGTAATAAGTACTAATAGAAATGTTGGGTATGCTTTCATCAGTCCTAAGCCATCATTATGGGATGGCAGAACTGCATGGCTTGCAGAGATTTTAAATATTATCTAGAATAGAGACAATCTGAGGTCCACAGCCTACCTAGTTTTATCTATTGGTTCATAGCCTAGTTAAAACTCAGCCTTTTAGAGGAATATTGAGGCAGTGTGAGTTTCAGGGGAGAGGAATGGTAGATGGGTGGTGGTGGGTTAACTTCAATGTGACCATAGTTTTTGACAGTAGCTTGTCATAATCACTGGTCTGCAAGCACCTGTAGGGAGGACTCATCTGGACTCAGCCCAGTGCAGGGAGCACTTGGGAAGGGAACACACAGGGGCAGGAGAGAGCATCTGCGTTGCACAACTCACCCTGCAGGGCCCAAGTTATGGCAAGAATATCCTGTACAGAGGAGACCCTGGTGGCAGAAGGAAGTGGTGCACCTTTCATCTCTATTCCCAGGGCCTGGAGCCCAATAGGTACTTAATACATTTCACTTAGGATGAAATAAACGAATGTCATCCTAAGTTCTCCTGCTAATGGCGTGCGTGGCCTACTGCCTTTGGACCTCCATTTTCTCCAGTTATCCCAGAGGGACTGATTTTTTAAAGACATAATGGGAATGCAAGTGGAACATATTGTGAGTACAGGACAGTCATGATGGCAGCTCAGACTAATATACAAATGGCCCCAAACTCCATGATGTGCGGCTTTAGGCCTGTGGCCCCTACACACTAAGCACAAGGACAGTGTGAAAGATTAGAATGTTGGCTCTACATTGCTGCTTCTTTGTCCAGAAACTATTTTTAAATGTTGGGCCCCTTTTGTCATGGACACTATCAGCTGATTACCAGAGTAACACAATGCTTAGTGAGTATTTGCCATGTCCCAGGCACTGTGCTGAGCAACTAAAATGTATTAATTCCTTTGACCCTCACAAAACCCTCTGGAGTAAGTAGTACTATCGCCTCCTTCATACAGTTAAGGAAACCAAAGCATATGGAATTCAAATGAGCTGCCCAAGTCATGCAGATAGAAAGCCATGCAGATTTCAAACCTCAACAGTCTGCCTCCAGGGTCCATGTTTTTTAGCAATATGCTTCATTACTCCTGCAGAGGTAATTTAATTTTGAAAGAGTCCATGGAGCCCTGGCTGGTGTGGCTCAGTGGATTGAGTGCCAGCCCGAGAACCAAAGGGTCACTGGTTTGATGTCCAGTCAGGGCATATGCCTGGGTGGCAAGCCAGGTCCCTTGTAGGGGGTGCACGAGAGGCAACCACACATTGATAATTCTCTCCCTCTCTTTTTCTAAAAATAAGTAAATAAAATATTTTTTAAAAAGAGTCCATGGAGCTCAACAAAACTGAAGATTTTATAATATGCTTTATGGATATAAGATTGTTCACCAATATTCTAGTTAAAGCGATTCTATCTACAAACAAACAACCTTAGCAAATGTTAATGGAGTCTATGATGGGAAACATGCTTCCTGACAACAAGCAGCTTGGATCTATTGCTTGAGCAGCTGAGAAATGTGAGAACACACCCATACACAAAGTAATATAAGGCAGCTCTTGCTGAGTACCAAATGAAAAGAACAAATAATAAATGTTACTATATTACCACAATAATCATCACAGACTAATCATGAATTTATCTTCTCCACTTTCTGTCAGCTCAAGCCTCCTGATGATGCCATACAAAATCATCTCATTGGACCTACACAGGTCCACCTCATTCCCATTTATTATCCTATTACCTGAAACAACACTACCTACTCTCCTCAGATGTTTCACGTAGAAAAAGTTCTCAACCCCATATCTTTCTCCATGATACATCTATCTGTAGTTTCCTTCACCATGAATAGCCTTCTATTCCATCACTAGCCTACAAGTATGCATTCATTCAACCAATATTTATAACCTCATTGGGTACACAGGATACATACAAGTTGAAACTAAAATAAAAATGCAAACGTTTTGAGTACCAAAGAGAGGCAAAACCACATACACATGTTAAGCACATCACCTTCCCCTAAAAATTCCTGCTCCACTACCCTTCCCAACTGTCTCCATAAATAGCAGAAATATTAGGATCAATTTCAATTGCCGCTCTCCACCAACCAACTCCATCCATGACCGGTGACCACATGCCATCAATTCTGCTTGAAATAACTCTCACTCCAGCTTCTCTCTCCTCATTACTTTTGCCTTGAGTTCAGGCCCTCACCATCTCTTGCTCCCTCATCTGATGCATTACGACAGTTTTCTGTCTGGCTTTCCCCCCTGCAACTTGACATGGCCTTATTATTCTAAAACACAACCCAGGTCACCTCATGGCCCTATGTGAAATTGCCCTATCTCACCTGACTCCCATACAGCCTCACCATATTATATACCCCCTTATCAACATGGCCTTTCTGCAGACACAATATTCCAAAAACAGAATTGCCTTGTGGCTTTCTGTCGAGAAATATCTTTTTGTTTTCCTCATGGCTGTCCAGGTCAACTCAAAGGCCTCCTCTAGGAAGCTTCCTTGGCTCCTCCAGGTGGCAATCCCTGCTTGTCAAGCTTTCCATAGTTCTTTGACTGAAGATAATTGGGCCACTTACCATATCTTGTGTCTTACCATGATTTTGTCACTTATACATCTGTCTATATCATATAAATTATGACATTTTCAAGGAGGGGGCTATGTTACATTCATCTTCAGTGCCTAGAACGTTGCTTAGCAAACAGCACACATTCCTTGACAAATGAATTAATGAAGTCCATATTTCCAGGTGCAGCCCAGAACTCTGTCAAAAGATACCAATTAATCTGCTTATCTAACCTTTCTAACTCTCCTTAATATTGTGCACATTTCTCAGAACCACTGGGAGAACTTTGGGAGTGTGAATCATCACTCTTCTGGGCACACTGCTTAGTTTCCCCCTTCTTTCATTGTTAGGACATTATTCAGGGGGGGAATCCATCATCCACTCAACGAGAGCACCAGAGAATAGGTCAGTATAAAACATTCCTTGGACCCCTCCCTAGACACATTGGACTTCCTCCAGTGGTCTGTTTTGGACTTTCTGCTTCTTATTAAACTCAGAAAAGTTTTCATAAATTTCCAAGGAATATTAGTAACAATAGTTAACATTTATTGGATGCCAGCTGTGTTAAAATTCTTCTGAAAACCTCACATATTCTAAGTCATTTAACTCTCCTAGTTCATAGATGTTTTACAGGAATAACAAGGAATAACATAATACCAGTTAACGCAGTCCCTAGAATATAGTTGTCTTCAATCTATGTTACCATTATTTTTTTTTAAAATAGTAAGTAGACCATCATATAAACTTTAGTTCATTTAGCTCATTGCTACCCAGTGAAAGAACAGCAGACTAGGAATTGGGAGCCCTGGGCTTTCACCTTTCCTCAGGTATTGGACCCAAAGAAAGCCATTTACTCTCTGGAGCTTAAGGCTTATGTCATCGATTGTACTACGTAGTTGGACTATGTGATCTCCAGGGATGCTACAAGTAAAATTCCATTATTCTTATCTATTATTTGAATTAAACAGCATTCTGTGACCTTATCAAAAAAATGAGGCAATTCTGGACCATTAAATAACTGCTAAAACTTAATTTATCTCCTAGAGAATTGAATTTATTATCCTTTTATTGCAGTTATCAATATGAGTTTATAAAGCACCTGAAAAGAAACTTCAGATTCACAAAATGTGATGTCTCTGATGAATGAGATTGATATCTGACCACTGAAATATGAGTATGAATGTGGTTCATAAAATCCTGTGCCATGGCTCCTTTGGATTACTTTTATTTTGATTTTTTCACTCCCTTGAATGAACTCAGAATTAACTCTATATTAAACAGTTATGTCAAGAGTCCGGTGGATCTCATTATTTAAAATATATATTTCTCTGTGGGAAAAGAATAGGCTTACACAGGCCAGGGAATAAGGTGAATCTTTGAAAACATGTGTAAGGGTGAAGACGTACTCTTCCTGCTCTATGCAAGGCACCATTCTGGGCACATGGATATGATAACTCATTTAAGAGCCAATTCTACAAGGAAGGTAATAATTTTTATAGGCAAAGTAATGAGGCACAGAGACATTAAATTAGTTGCTCAACTTCACACAGCCTCACTAAAATAAAGCACTTAAGATATTACACCAAAAAGGCAATATATTGACTAATTAAACACCCTACATTAATAACAAGTACTCTCCCAGTTTCCGTATTTCTCCAGAAATGTTTCTAGGTCTCTACCCCATCTCACCCACTCTAGCCCATTTCAGTCCATAAGATAATGTGTACCCTAGCAAATGTATTTCTCTTTGAGGGGCCCTCTGTCCAAATATATGGAACTGTTGATTTTTCCATTTTATGACTTTGCACTGACCCTAGAATTCTCTCATTTTCTGTTTCTACTTCCCTGTTTCTACCTCCTGGTTCCTGAGACAGAGTAAGCCTGAGAACTGCGGCTAAGAACACTTTTATATATCTGTAATTAACCTAAAGAAGATTGGTTTTTTCTGAAGCCTCACTTCCTATACTCAGAATTATCTATATTATGTATATTTTATTGAACAGACATATATAGAGTACCTCACTACCTGCCAGAGAGCATTCTAAACATTTTGTAAATATTAAGTTACTTAATCCTCATAGCAAATGGTACTATTTGCTATGAAAAATGGTACTATTTTAGATGAGAAAACTGAAGCAGAAAGACATAAATAAAATCATGTGCTCAGTATCGCTAGAAAGTTACAGAGCGGGGATTTAAGCCCAGGTGGGCATATTTCAGAATCCATGCTCTTACTATGCTATACTATTAGCAAATGTTAGTATATAAAGCAATTACTGAATGTACTTTTGAATGTAAAGTGCATACTGCATTCAAGTTAAATTGACATGTAGGAATACAAACACACTGTCATTTAATACATATTCTATTAAAGATATTTGAACTATTAGCTCTAAAATTATTGTTTTTCAATAAATTAATAATTACATTGATAAAGTATACTTGGCGGTTTCCATTCTTTGTATATGTAAATAGGAGATAAAAGAGAACATGGGTTCTGAAGCCAAGACAGCCTGGGTTCGAATGAGACTCTATCATGTACAAGTCGTGCACTCCCGAGCAAATGACTTTAAATCTCTGTGCCTGTTTCCTTAGCTTTAAAATAGGAATAGCCATTCCTACATTATATAGTTATATGAAGATTAAATTAGTTAACATGCAAAAAGCTCTTAGAACAGTCCCTGCAATACAGTAAGTGTTATATAAGAGTTGAGTATTGTCATTACTTTTGTCACTGTTATTCTTATTCCTGTTATTCACATGAAGAGACTGAAGTATTCATATACACAAAAGGAATCCAAAAGTAAGTAAAACGGGCACTCCCGTCGTCAAGGCTTCCCTTCTAGTCTTCTCTACTGTGCGTATATTAGTTATGCTCACTCTGACCAGGGGCTTCAACTGCTGCCTTTAAAATAAATGACACATCTCCACAGCCTTGACCTATTCTCTGAACTCCAAATGTGTGCATGCCCCTGCCTACTGGACACAACCCCCGCTGGTCTACCTCAATGTCTCAAACTGACCGTGTCAAAAAAATCGTTCTCTTGCTCCTCACCTCTGGCTCCCTCTAACAACAAACGGCTCCTCTCCAGGCTTCTCCATCCCGGGAAATGGCACAGCCCTCTATCCACTTTCAAGGGCTCAAACCTTGGTTCGTCATTCCCTCCCCCACACCCAAACCAGCAGCAAACCATTTTAGCACCGCCTCTGCAATCCGTCCTGAGTCTCATCACTTGCCCTCACTCCTACTCTCCTGTGTAGAACCCTAAAATGTTTTCATACCGCATTCAAAATAAAGTCCAATCACTTTATTGTCCACCACAAGGCCCCTGGCTCTCCCAGGACGTCACTCCTTCTGTCCTCCCTCTGGCTCACTATGCTCCAGACACACAGGCGCTCCTGCTGTTCCCTACACCTTCCCAAGCACCTGTCCACACTCATTCTGACGGGTTCCTCGTTCCTCGAGCCTGCGTGCTTTTCCCCCACAGAAGACTTTGCCTCGGTCCTCCCCCGGCCCCCACCCCGCCCCCGCCCCCCGCAGCCACCCCCCTCCACCCCGGTCCTTAGTCAGGACTCTGTTCAAATGCAAACTTATCAGAGAGGCTTCCGTTTACTCCCTTAAATTCACACACACCCACCCTCTCCTTCTGTTGTAAATGGCTGGAACCTACTTTATTTTCTTCAAAGCATTTGTCCCTCTGAAATCCTATTATTTATTTGTTTGTTTGTATACATGTTTATTATGTTTCTTCTCCACTCTGTCATAAACCCTAAGAGGGCAGGGAATTTTTCTTCTTGCTCATGACTGAATCTTCAGTACATAGAACAGTTCTTGTCATGTCATAAAATAAACATTTATTGAATGAACAAATAAATGATTAAAATATCCATGTAGGTCAGGGTAACAACTTGAGAATACTGAGAAATGGCACATAGCTAGCAAAAAGACCTCCTGAACAATTAATTGTTTTATCTCACTTGTGAAAGAACTCTTCATGTTTAAGTATGTAAACTATATTATATAGTAAATATACTATATATGTGTGTTTTCTTATATTTTAAATTTTTTGCAGTATCTATGACAATAGCATTATAGGCACTTTAAACAGTTGCTGGCATTTTCTTTTATTTATGAAAATTACAGTGGTAATAATTCAGTACCTTAAGATTTCATCTAGAGACAAACTGGTTTTCTTATCCCTTCACTGACACTTATAGATAAACTAACAGGTTTTTGAATAATATTATAAGTGCAATGTAACAGAAATTAACTGATCAATTTTGAACTAAACAGTATGTAACCCACTGTGCACAGCATAAAACATGTGTTTAAAATCAGGAATTGGGTTTTATAAAGTTATTAAGTGGTACCAAGTGTAATTTTGACTCCACGAATAGAAGAGTACAACTTAGGAAACTTAAAGAGTTCTAGTTATTCTTATCCTATATACTTCCAGAATATAAGTGCTTTACCAAGGGATTCTATACAGATTAATTAAAGCAGTAAAGCAGAAAAAGAAGCAGGTTAACTTCATTTCAGACTAGCCCATAGTCTTTTCAAACAAATGGGAGAACAAGCTTCTAAGATACCTTCGGAATGACTTGGTTTGGTCTTGTGCATGGACTGCTCATCACAAGGGTGAAAACTCAGTTGCTGAAGGACTGCTGGGCAGATGACAGAGAAGTTCGAGCTGGTTACCTGGGTAGCATTTGAAAAGCCATGAAGGGAAAAGATCTCTTCAGCTGACAAACACTGAAATAGAAGAAACAGAGTAAATGTATATGTGGTGAGATAGTGAAGCACTCCAGCAAAGGCTATACAAGACACAGAATATTTCCTCCAGACCCACAGCACTAACACCTTACACAATAACTCACTACAGAAATGTATAGACCCCTAAAACTGTGAAACAGCCCACACTTCCTTAAACCTAGAAACAAGAAAAAAAGCAAAAAACCTTCTGGATCATCAGTCTACCTATATATAGCCAGCCGAAAAGGTAGGAACTGGTCAGGAATTTCCAAGGACTTTAGAACAAAAGGGCTTTAGATGATACAATATTTTTTATCTTCCCGCCCTGTTTTTCTTTAGTTTGAATGGATATTTTGTGTGAGCTTTGGAGTGGCTCTCTACAACATTTCTTGGAGACAAACACCAGGCTCCCTTACAGTTTCACATTTGAGGGATTCGTCCATCCTTTTAGCACTAATAATCCCAACACATAAATATTGTTTTAAAATATGTTTTTGGTACAAATGGTTGTTTGTTAAAACATGTATTATGCTCAATGATAACAGGTAACTTTCTTATATTATACCAAGTTTTTGAAAAGTGATGTGAAGTTTAGAAATTCATTAACTATTAATGAGAAATAGAATTGTCATTAGAAAAAAATTCTCTGCAAAAAAAATAGTAACATTTTAAAGGTAGTATTTTAATCTTGGACAAAATTTAAGTCTAAACTACTTTCTGCATACTCACATTAATAAGAAGAACTTAAAAGAAATTAAATGTGTTACTATTGCTAATGAATGTTGTAAGAATTATAGAGTATGAAAAATATCCATTCACTCAAATAGAAGAGTCTTTCATAAGTACAATTGAGAGCATTGCTGTGTATACTTCAGCCAATATTTAAACCCTGCTAAGACCTTAGCTTTGTATAATACGGTGGACTCAATTGCGTCTTCCTAAAGTTCACATATTGAAGCCCTAACCGCCAATGTGATGATTTTGGGAGATGGAACTTTTGTAAGGCAATTACAGTCAGATAAAATCATGAGGGCGCAGCCCTGCTCCACTCATACTAGTGGGCTTACATGAAGAGACACCAGAGAGCTTGCTTGCTCTCCCCCGCTCTTTGCCATGTGAGGACAAAGCAAGAAAGCAGCCGTCTACAATCCAAAGAGAGAGCTCTAACCAGATTCCAAACCCCTGCCACCTCTACCAGTCTCCAAAACTATGAGAAAATAAACTTCCATTGTTTAAGCCACCCAGTCCATAGTATTTTGTCATAGCAGCCCATGTTCACTAGTACACTATGAATGATATTGAAAACTCAAAAAGTTTTTGTTCATTGTTTCACCATAAGTGCTGTAATTTTCTTCGTAACAAAAACAATGAAACTAAAAATGTAAGATTTTGAGAACAGGAGATCACTACTGATTTTGAAGAAGAGATGGAAAGACATCAAATACACCAAGATGTTTGGAGTTGTCAAAAGCTAAGAGTGCAATTGCCATAAAGAAAATATACATTTAGACCCCTTTTTAATGTCTAAGTATGTGGCTGTGTTGTTCCCTTATTCAACCGATGCACTCCTTTGGGTTCATGACAATGACTGCTGTGTGCCATTTCTAGAAGAGGAGCCAGTACACTCAATGCTTTGTTAACTGTCTTTCTTTTGGTGAGAATAAGGGATAATAAACTAATGATGGAAGACAATAGCTTGATAGCCAACTGGGGGAGGCAAAGTGGATATAATTTATTCATTACCATGAAACCACACTGGACTATAATTGTTAGGTTCAAAAATTACAGAGTCCATGTGGTCCAGGTGTGCACTGCACGATTCCAGGAATAAATGGGTGTGGTAACACAAACACAAGGCAGCACTGTGTCCCTGCAAGGAAGTCTTAACCTACTTGGACTTCAAGTTCCTTCAACTGTAAAATAAGAGGAAAGGGGGAAGCTGCTGATAGGCAATTTACAAAGCCTTCTCAGAATTAACATTATAACATGTCCTAAAACTTGATGTCTGGTAAACAGTTTTCAGACTCCAGTTGCAGCCTGTCAGTGGGTCAGGAAGTTCACTTATAGTCAGCATTTTGTAAGGAAGTAAAAAACAATACAATAGAAACTACAGAGTGTATCACACATAACTAGGATAAGGACTGCTTAATCAAATTTTACATCAGCTATACATTATACATACATGTACATGTACATGGGACCACAAGGCAAAGTTTATTTTTTAGAAGCTAGGAGAAAAGGGTGAAGAGATTAGGAAGTACAAATTGCCAGGTACAAAACAGTCATGGGGATGTAAGGTACAGCATAGGGAATATGGTAAATAATATTGTCATAACAACGTATGGTGTCGGGGGGTACTAGACTTATTAAGGGGATCACTTTGTAAGTTATGTAAATGTCTAACCACTTTGCTGTACACCTGAAACTAATATATGATTGAAGGCCAACTGTAAGTAAAAATTTTAATTTTTTGAAATTTCAAAAAAATATTTTTTTACTGTAAATGCTGTAAAATGTTTGAAAGTTACTACCCTTAAGGATGTCCAAATTGCCTGTTGTATATCCTTAAAGACACTCTCCTACATACAGTTAGGAAAAGAAAGATAAACAAAGGAATAAATAATCAGTATTGTAAGACAGCTTAGAGTCTAGATGAGTTGTGCAGGATCTGTATGAAAATTTGTTTGGGCAGGTACTCATGGTGTGCAACAGCTCAATCTCAAGGAAGAGTAAATAGGTGGAGAGATGACAAAACTCTAGATCTTGTCTTATGATAAGAGAGTGGGGATAGAATATTAAGAGAATACTAACAGTGTGGCAAAACAAAAAATAAGGGCAGGCCTAATTTATTTAAAACAGCTATCTTCCAGTAAATAGAATACAAAAAAACTTATACAGCAGCCAAATTTTGCTTTTGAATAACTTTCATTTGATTTTATTTTTTTCTTTTTATCTTTTGACTCCTTTCACCTGTTTCTCCCACTCTGGCAACCACCCATCTGCTTTCTATATATGTGAACTTGGTTTCATTTTATTTGTTTTGTTTTATATTCCACATATCAGTGAGACCATATGGTATTTGTCTTTTTCTGTTTTCTTCACTTAGCACGATACACATTAAATCTTACCATGTTATCACAAATGGTAAGATTACAGTCTTCTTTATGGCTGAGTAATATTCCATTGTATTTATATACCACACCTTCTTTATCCATTCATCCACCAGTGGACACAGGTTGCTTCCATATCTTGGCTGCAATGAACATGGGGGTGCATATATATTTTCTAGTTAGTGTATTTTGTTTTCTTCTGATAAATATCCAGAAGTGGAATTGCTGGATAATATTATAGGCATATTTTTAATTTTTTGAGGAAACTCCATATTGTTTTCAGAGTGGCTACACCAACTTACATTCCCACCAACAGTGCACAAGGGTTCCTTTTTCTCCACATTCTCATCAACACCTGCTATTTCTTGTCTTTCTGATAATAGTCACTATGTGAGGTCATATCTCACTGTGGTTTTGATTTGCATTTTCTTATGATTAATGATTTGAACACCTTTTCATATACTTGTTAGCCACCTGTATATCTACTTTGGAAAATGTCTACTCAAAACTTCTGCTCATTTTTTAACTGGATTGTTTGGTCCTTTTTGTTTTTGACTTGTGTGAGTTTTTCTCCTGTTGAGTAGGTTGCTATTTTATTTTTTTGAAGGTGTCCTTTGCTGTGCAGCTCTTTGGTTTGATGTAGTTTCTTTCTTTTTTAAAAACTTTTATTTATTCATTTATTTACTTATTTATTTATTGCTATCATTATTTTTTCTTTGGTCTCAGATTCATAAAATTATTGCCAAGACCCACATCAAAGGACCTTACTACCTAAGTTTTCATCTACGAGTTTTATGGTTTCAGCTCTTAACATTAAACTATTTAATCCATTCTGAGTTAATTTTTGTGTATGGTATAAGAGAGTGGTCAAGTTTTACTCTTTTGCATGTGGCTGTCCAGTTTTCCCAACACCATTTATTAAAGAGAGTGTCCTAGCCCCATTGTAGATTCTTGGCTTCTTTATCATAAATTAATTGACTATATATGCATGGTTTTATTGCCAGGAGATGTGGGGTCATTGTGGTATCATGAGGAAAGCATTCCAGGAGACCCACAAGGGAGGATCAGGTCTGGTGATAAGATTTATTTGTGGCACCAGATGCAAGATCAAAGGAGTTCCCCTGGGTTTCCATTGTCCCATCTCCGTCTTCCACCCAAGGAAAAAGTTCCAATCTTGTCTTCATGAGAACAGAAATAGGGCCAGTGTCCAGAATTTCTGTGGCATGCCAAAGATAGTCCCTGTTAAAGCTTTGTCCAGTCCAACCTTTATCACCATCCAGCTAGCTTAGCTTGTTTTTTGGGCTACGCCTTGTCTAGGACCCACATTTGGAGTCCACATGGCTAATGGGGGCCACAGGTGTCTGTTAGTCCCACATGGCTGCTATGGAGAGAATGCAAGAACAACAAGGCAAGCAAGAAAGAAAAAAAAAGGCTCTTTGTTCGGTGGAATTATGTTATCTCAGACTTGGGAAGAACCAAGCACTTTTTCAAAATAACCAATAAACTTTCTGAGTTTTTGGAGGCTTCTGCTGGGTCCAACCCCGAACCAATCTATTCCTTAGATCCTCTGGAATTTTGTCTTTTATCCAATCCAATCCCTTTTCCTGGATAGACTAACAGCCCTTTATGGTTTCCATTGTGGCTCCTACTGCATATGTGCTTACCTCCCCCATTATTGTTCTCTCTCTCTCTCTCTCTCTCTCTCTCTCTCTCTCTCTCTTTCCAGTGATCTGAGAGGAAGGACTATTGTTCCCTGAGCAGTAAGTGAAGCTGCAACTTCTTTGAGAAGCAAGCATGCTTATGCTCTTTATTTTATTCAGCTTAAGAATGTCTGAGTCCCTTTGTTCCATTCCTTTAATAATATTTAGCTACCTATGCTAACAGTTTTAT